TGGGCATGGGAGCCAGTGTACATCTGAAGCCGGGAGCTCCAGGATGCCCCAGGATGCAGGCACCAAGGGAAGAGCTGGTGGGTGGACATCAGACGGATGAGACCTTCCCACAGACCCCGTTCTGGTGCCTTGGTAGGTCTCAGCTGCCCCTGCCCCTGGTTCCTAGGGAGCCAGCCTTGGTGGGGTGTAGAACAGCCTTCCCAGCATCTGGAGCGTGCAGAAGTCTCCCCTCCCCTTCAGACACCCTCCGAAGAGCCTTCCACTGGGGAGCCTGGCAGGGCCTTGTGCTTCCCACCCATCACTCGTCCCTTGCTACTCAGAACCTCAGGCTCCGAGGAGAGAGGCACGGAGTAGAGCTCCAGTGAGCATGCTCGAGGCTCACCCACTGCGGAGGGGCCGTGCTGTGCAGCAGGGCTGCTTTGTCCTTTGGGGTTCCTGTGCCCTAGGATGGCTCCCTTGCCCAAGCAGGCCTTTCTGAGCTGGCTCGGTCCCTCCCTAGCCACCCTGAGGCCTGTGGGGGCCCCTTGGAGACTCACTCCTCCTTCCCAGTCAGGCCTGGTCCTCAGGATTCCATCCCGCCCCCCAGGACAGCAGTAAATCCGGCTAATGACTTATGACATACATCCAAGTCTCATTTATTTATTATTCGGTACCTGCAACAGATGGGCAAGTCCAAGGTGATTCCAGACTCCTCTGCCCCATTCCCAGCCTCCTGAGCCCCTGCGTGTTCCCACTTTTTCCTCTGTTCTCCATTCGTATGCCTTGAGTGGGCTGAGGTTTTAAATTTTTTTCCCCGCAGCTACAAATCAGGAAACCGGGTCATAAAACAACCTTGGGTAAGTAGGTGGGATGGAACCAGCAGCCTTGGAGCTGCTGCTGGGGAACAGAAAGTTTCTCTCTCCCTACCTCCCTCCTACCCACTCTTCTTTTCTCCCTCAGGGTCCCCCTGGGCTGCAGCAGCTCTGGCCTACACTGTCCCCGTGTCCTTGACAGGTGACCCAGCCCCAGGGCCTGGGGAGGCTGAGAGCCTAGTGACCCCTCACTGAGACTACCCAAGGGACAGTAGTTGCCTTGGTGATTATCATCGCCCTTTAGTGGACCTACCCAAGGTGGGTCTAGCTGCTCAAAGAGGAGGGCAAGGTAGGAATAAAAGTTCCGCCTGAGGGCTGGGGTGCAGCTGAGTGGTAGGTGCTTACCCGGCGTGCTTGAGTCCTTGAGTTCTGGCCCTAGCGCCTCAGTTTAAATCAAGGTTGGGTGAGATTCTGTGCCTGGGCCTCAGCCCCAAAGGCTGCAGACAGGATGAGAAATCAAGCCACTGTCCTTGCCTGAGCACAGAACGGTTGTCGTGCGGTCCTACACCAGGGTAACCGCCTCCAAAGTGGGTTCTCGGCAGGGACGCCCGCCCTTGGCCTGCCGCTGCCGCAGCACCACTGTGGGGGCTCTGCCATGGGGTCCTAGGTGCCACGTACCCCTCTGAACCTCACTCACTTCATAAAGGGTAGAACAGTCAGTGTCAAAGGAGGAAGTCTGGCCCTGCGTGGGGGCACATGCCTGTAATCTCAGTGCTCAGGAGGCTGAGGCAAGAGGATCACTGTGAGTTCAAGGCCAGCCTGGGCAACATAACAAGACCCTGTCTCAAAGGAGGAAGCCCGCGTAGAGGAGGTGCTCAGCAGCTGAGCTGCGAGCACCCCCAGCCCAGGAGTCCGTGGTGAAGGTGTGCCCGCGCCCACCCTGCTGCCAGGACTTTTGGTGGGGCTGGCTTCACTCTGGACAGGGCGTGGGGGCCGTATCACTCCCTCTACGCATGATGTCATGGCTGTGTGAGTGGTTTGGGGTTGGCAACCTCTGCTGCTGTGCCACGCGGAGTCCTGGGGCTCTGGACCCCGGGCCCGGTGCTGGGATGTGTGGGTGGCCTGGAGCTCCAGCCACGCTGAGCCTGGCCAGCTCCCTGCGTCCTGTGGCCTGGTAAGACAGGCTCCCATGACTGAGGTGCTTAGGACGTGCAGGGCTCTCTCGCCCCCTCTCCTGCCTGCCTTCCAGGTGCAGCAAGAGACACCTTGGCCAGCTAAAGGAGAGGCACCTGGGGCCAGGAGGAGCCCTGGGTGTGAGGGGCGCTCTCCCCTGGCAGCCCAAGCCGCAGGCTGCCCCCAGGCCACTTCTGCCCCTCCCCCACGTACAGAGGTCACCAGCGCCCCGCCAGCAGCCTCTTCTGTGTCCCTCCGTCTCTTGATGCTGCTCAGCCCAGCCCTGCCGCTGCCTTTCCTCCCCTCCATATCCTTTCCCAGTGCTCTTGAAAAATAATCATAATCACAATAATTAATAACAACAGAGCCCATGGCAGGCGGAAGCTGCTCTTAAAGTGGCAGCGCCCTATTTCTTCCTGGCAGAGCCAGTGGGCCCTTGGCAGGCAGCTCTGAGAGGCAGCTGTGATGCTACCATGCCTTTGTTCCTGCGTCCCTCCCTCCATCTGGGGTTGGAGGGTGGTGTCGGGGCGAGTATTTTTGCCTGTGTCCGTCAGGCACTGGGCCTCTTATATTTTAATTGAACTGTCTTTTCTTAGAGATAGATGTTGCGCCACATCCAGCTGCTCGGGTGTATTGGGAAACCCGCCTGTAATCCGGCTTGGCTAAATTAAAAGACGCAGCAGCTGGACTGATTAAACAGGGAGGGGAGGTGGGGATGGAGCAGGCAAGGGGAGGACACTGCTAACGGCACACCCACCCACCCCCTCTCTTTTTAAATAATGTTTCTGGTAATGCATTTTGGAGAATGTGGAAAAAAAAAATAAAAAATAAAGCCGTAGAAATGTTAATGATATCCACAGGACACTCAGCAGGAAATGAGAGTGATCTGGGACTAATAAAAGCAGAAATGTAATTTGTGCAGATATACGAGGGAGCCGCAGCCTTCAGAACGGTCCTGGGTCTGCGCATTCTGGGCTCGTAAACACGCACGTGGGGAGGGCAGGGAGTGGGTGATGTGCGCCCTCAGAAGGGGCAACAAGCTGGGTTTGGGGCAGGGGTGGCCCTCGCCTGAGCCGGGGAGCATGGGTGGAGCCCGCAGGGGCTGGCTGTCCTCTCCGCTGGGGCTAGGGTTGCCCAGCCGGCCGGAAGCCACTGCCAGCTCCTCTCGGTGGGCGTGTCCTGAAGTGTCCTGTCTGAGCCGCCAGGGTGGAAGTGGGTCAGAAGGGCGGGTGGGCCTCTTCTCCCTCCCGTTTAGGGGTGCCTGTGGTAGATCTGGGCGTGAGGCTCCCACAAGTCCGGTGAAGTGGGGCTTGGTCTGGGGGCAAGGGCACCCTGCTTTGTGCGTCAGGCAGGTTGACTCCCTAGGGAAGGAGAGGGCTTTGGGCCAACCCTCTAGCAGGTGAGCCTGGGGCTGTGTTGGCAGGCCCCTGGGCTGCTTGGCTGCCTGCGTAGGTTTGGGGGAGGTGCCCCTCTCCCTGCCCCTTCCTGAGATCAGTCCACCATTGAATGAAGAAGGTACCCTTGGGGACCGGGCCAAAGAGGAGGCTGGGAGCCGAACCTCCCTGCTGGGGCATCTCCCTCCACTCGCCCTGGCTTGCATCTTTCCTCCTTCTCATCACATCTGTGGAATTCTTTTCTCCTCCCAGTCCCCCCACCCACACACTTATTTCTTCCCAGTCCCTCAAAATACCCTGGAATTCCTCGTAGCCCAAGGCGGGCCACGCTCCCTCTTGCAGTGTTTGGGAATGAGAACCAGAAGGTCCCTGCCCCCGGCCCCACGCTAGGGCTTGGGTCACTCGGGCCAAGCAGAGCCCCTTCGTCCACCTTTTTTGGTTGCTGGGTCCAATCCCGAGCCCTCGGTGACTCACCGTGACTCCTTTAAAACCTGGGCTTTCCTCTCTCTGCCCCTCTCTTAAGGACCCCCTGGGGTGACCAAGCCGGCCAGGTAGTTTGAGGAACCTTTAACCCAGACACCCAAGTCTGTCTTGGGCTGTGAACCATCCAAGGCTCCCGCCTTGCCCTGGCTCATTTTCAGACCCAGGATCCTGCTTCAGGGCAGATTAGATCCTGCCTGGACCCCTAAAAGCCTCTAAAATCATGGGTTCTTGGGTTCTACCTGTCCTGGCCCTGACCGGGGGAGGACTGGAGGGACCCTGCCAGAAGGGAAAGGGCTGCATCACACCTGCATGGAGGGGCCAGCCTGGTGTGCTCCCCACGCCCACAGACTGTGTCTCTGTCCCCATTAGTATGCACTCCCTCGCTGTGGCCACGTCATCTGTTTATGCACCTATGGTATCAAGAACAGGAGGCAGGAGCTGCCATCCTGCATTCCTGGGAATCAGAGGAGGGGGTGCTGTATGTCTACAGTGGCTCAGCATCCCCTCGTTGATGTCTGCTGGAAGGAACAGACAGATTCCAGATGGCCTGGCAGTGATGGGGAGGCGTGTGGATGCGAGCCTGTGTGTGTGTGTGTGTGTGTGTGTGTGTGTGTGTGTGTGGTCTGTCTGCCCATGGTCAGCCTTAGCTGGCGTCCTCTCCCAGGCAGGGCAAGGGCAGATCCTCCTGGGCCCCCGGTATGGTTGGGTCATGCCTGAGCACAGCCACACAGGGGCTAAGATTACAGGATCCCGCTGGCCCCAGGGGACAGCGGAGCCGGAACCGCTCTGCTAAATGCTTTGAGCTGTCTGGAAGGGCTGGGAGTGGGGGTGGGGGTGGAGGGGAGGGGCTGGTGAGCAGGAAGGTGGCATGGCCACTTCTGGTGGCCTGGCTCTGAGCAGCCCGCTTTGCACCTCCCACCCTGTGGCGGTGTCCTTGGCAGGCTCAGCTGCACGCGCTGCGGCGGCAGGCGTTACGGGCACACCTCCCGGCACAGAAGTTGTCAACATGTGCACAGCTGCGTGGGAGGCTCCGCCTGGGGGCGTGGGGGGGCGGACAGGGCAGGAGGTGGCGGGAGGGGTACTGGCCAGGCCAAAGGACAAAGACGTGGCCCATCTGAGTCGCTCTCCCTCTGCTCCCCCTCTCCTCCTCTCTCCACAGATAACCAGCCCGAGTCATGCAGTCTTTTAGAGAAAGGTGTGGTTTCCATGGCAAACAACAGAGCTACCCGCAGACCTCGCAGGAAACATCGCGTCTGGAGAATTACAGGCAGCCGAGTCAGGCTGGGCTGAGCTGCGACCGGCAGCGGCTGCTTGCGAAGGACTATTACACTCCGCAGCCTTACCCGGGCTATGAGGGCAGCACTGGCACACCCTCTGGCACGGGGGCTGCGGTCGCCGCCGAGAAGTACCACCGAGGCAGCAAGGCCCTGCCCTCACAGCAGGCCCTTCCGGGGAGGTCAGCTTTCCCTGGCTATGGCGGTGTCCAGGACAGCAGCCCTTACCCGGGACGCTACTCTGGCGAGGAAGGCCTGCAGGCCTGGGGTACCCCACAGCCACCACCTCCTCAGCCACAGCCCCTGCCAGGGGGTGTGGGCAAGTATGATGAGAACTTGATGAAAAAGACAGCAGTGCCCCCTGGCAGGCAGTACCCAGAGCAGGGCGCCCAGCTTCCCTTCCGGACTCACTCTCTGCACGTCCAGCAGCCGCCGCCGCCGCCGCCTCAGCAGCTGCCGCAGCCCCAGCAGCCTCTGGTGTACCCCAAACTTCAAAGGCAGAAACTACAGAATGACATTGCCTCACCTTTGCCTTTCCCCCAGGGTGGCCACTTCCCGCAGCACTCCCAGTCCTTTCCTGCCTCTTCCACCTACTCGTCCTCTGTCCAGGGTGCCGCGCAGGGGGCCCACTCCTACAAGAGTTGCACAGCACCGTCCACCCAGCCCCACGACAGGCCGCTCACCGCCAATACCAGCCTGGCCCCGGGGCCGCGGGTCCCAAACCTTCACGCCTACCAGTCGGGCCGCCTCGGCTATGACCAGCAGCAGCAACAGCAGCAGCAGCAGCAGCAGCAAACACTCCAAAGCCGGCACCATGCCCAGGAAACCCTCCACTACCAAAACCTCGCCAAATACCAACACTATGGGCAGCAAGGCCAGGGCTACTGCCAGCCAGATGCCTCTGTCAGGACGCCGGAGCAGTACTACCAGACCTTCAGCCCCAGCTCCAGCCACTCCCCTGCCCGCTCTGTGGGACGCTCACCGTCCTACAGCTCCACTCCCTCGCCCCTGATGCCCAACCTCGAGAGCTTCCCATACAGCCAGCCGCCGCTCAGTACTGGAGCCTTCCCCACAGGGGTCACCGACCACAGTCACTTCATGCCCCTGCTCAACCCCTCCCCGACGGACGCCGCCAGCTCCGTGGACACCCAGGCCAGCAACTGTAAGCCCATGCAGAAGGACAAGATCCCTGAAAACCTGCTGTCAGACCTCAGCCTGCAGAGCCTCACGGCACTGACCTCACAGGTAGAGAACATCTCCAACACCGTGCAGCAGCTTCTGCTGTCCAAGGCTGCCGTACCGCAGAAGAAAGGGGTCAAGAACCTTGTGTCCAGGACTCCAGAGCAACACAAGAGCCAGCACTGCAGCCCTGAGGGCAGTGGCTACTCAGCCGAGCCATCAGGCACGCCGCTGTCCGAGCCGCTGAGCAGCACCCCGCAGTCCACCCACGCTGAGCCGCAGGAGGCCGACTACCTGAGTGGCTCTGAGGACCCGCTGGAAAGAAGCTTCCTGTACTGTAGCCAGCCCCGTGGCAGCCCTGCCAGGGTCAACAGTAACTCGAAGGCCAAGCCTGAGTCTGTGTCCACCTGTTCTGTGACCTCACCTGATGACATGTCCACCAAATCTGATGATTCCTTCCAGAGCTTGCACAGCACTCTGCCCCTGGACAGCTTCTCCAAGTTCGTGGCCGGTGAGCGGGACTGCCCTCGGCTGCTGCTGAGCGCCCTGGCACAGGAGGACCTGGCCTCCGAGATCTTGGGGCTGCAGGAAGCCATCGGCGAGAAGGCTGACAAGGCCTGGGCGGAAGCTCCCGGCCTGGCCAAGGACACCAGCAAGCCTCCCTTCTCGTTGGAGAACCACAGCGCCTGCCTGGACTCCGTAGCCAAGAACGTATGGCCGCGGCCTGGGGAGCCAGAGACCCTGCCTGATTCTCTGCAGCTGGACAAAGGTAGTGGCACCAAGGACTTCAGCCCCGGGCTCTTTGAAGACCCTTCTGTGGCCTTCGCCAGCCCTGATCCCAAGAAGACAACTGGCCCTCTCTCCTTTGGCACCAAGCCCACCCTTGGGACTGCCGCTCCAGACCCCACCACCACAGCTTTTGACTGCTTCCCGGACACAACCACCGCCAGCTCAGCAGACAGTGCCAACCCCTTTGCCTGGCCGGAGGAGAACCTGGGCGATGCCTGTCCCCGGTGGGGACTGCATCCCAGTGAGCTTGCCAAAGGCCTGGAGCAGGGCGGAAAGGCCTCGGATGGCGTGGGCAAAGGCGACAGCCACGAGGCTTCGGCCTGCCTGGGCTTCCAAGAGGACGAGCCCCCGGGGGAGGAGGCAGTCGCAATGCCCAGGGACTTCAAGCAGGAGGCGGCGGGTGGGGTGAAGGAGGAGGTGGGCGGGATGCTGCAGTGCCCCGATGACGTGGGTAAGGCTGACCGGTGGCTGGAGGACAGCCGGCACTGCTGCTCTGCTGCGGACTTTGGGGACCTGCCACTGCTGCCGCCCCCAGGCAGGAAGGAGGACCTGGAGGCTGAGGAGGAGTACTCCTCCCTGTGTGAGCTGCTGGGCAGCCCGGAGCAGAGGCCCGGCATGCAGGACCCGCTGTCCCCGAAGGCCCCCCTCATCTGCACCAAGGAGGAGGTGGAAGAAGTGCTGGACTCCAAGGCCAGCTGGGGCTCCCCGTGCCACCTCTCTGGGGACTCTGTCATCCTGCTGGGCCCCACCGTGGGTGCCGAGTCAAAGGTCCAGAGCTGGTTTGAGTCCTCCCTGTCCCACATGAAGCCAGGGGAAGAGGGTCCTGAGGGGGAGCGGGCTCCCGGTGACTCCACCACCGCGGAAGCCTCCCGGGCCCAGAAGCCGAACAAGCCTGCCGTGCCCGAAGCACCCATTGCTAAGAAAGAGCCTGTGCCCCGGGGTAAAAGTTTACGGAGCCGTCGGGTGCACCGGGGGCTGCCTGAGGCTGAGGACTCCCCGTGCAGGGCGCCAGTGCTGCCCAAAGACCTGTTGCTCCCTGAATCCTGCACAGGGCCGCCCCAGGGACAGATGGAAGGGGCCGGGGCGCCAGGCCGAGGCGCCTCAGAAGGGCTCCCCAGGATGTGTACACGCTCCCTCACGGCCCTGAGTGAACCCCGCACGCCTGGACCTCCGGGCCTGACCACCACTCCCGCACCCCCTGACAAACTGGGGGGCAAGCAGCGAGCCGCCTTCAAATCGGGCAAGAGGGTAGGGAAACCTTCGCCCAAGGCCGCATCCAGCCCCAGCAACCCAGCTGCCCTGCCCGTGGCCTCAGACAGCAGTCCCATGGGCTCCAAAACCAAGGAGACAGACTCGCCCAGTACTCCCAGCAAGGACCAGCGCTCTATGATCCTCCGGTCCCGCACGAAGCCCCAGGAGGTCTTCCACGCCAAGCGGAGACGGCCCTCGGAGAGCCGGCTCCCCAACTGCCGTGCCACCAAAAAGCTCCTCGCCAACAACCACCTGCCCACCGCATTCAAAGTCTCCAGCAGTCCCCAGAAGGAGGGCAGGGTGAGCCAGCGGGCGAGGGTCCCCAAGCCCGGAACCGGGGTCAAGCTTTCTGATCGGCCCCTCCACACCCTCAAAAGGAAGTCCACCTTCATGGCGCCGGTCCCTACCAAGAAACGGAACCTAGTTTTACGGAGCAGCAGCAGCACCACCACCACCACCACCGGCAACGTGGAAGACGGGAAGGAGGAGAGGGCCGAGGACTCCCCCGCTCTCTTCAGGAGGGTGTCTTCCCCCAAAAAGACCAAGCCCAAGGGCAGCAGCGAGCCCATCATGAAGCCCTTGCCTCCGGAGAGCCCCGAAACCTGCATGAAGCTCACCTCACGGGCGGCCTTCCAGGGCGCCATGAAGACCAAGGTGCTGCCGCCCCGGAAGGGCCGGGGCCTGAAGCTGGAGGCCATCGTGCAGAAGATCACCTCACCTGGTCTCAAGAAGTTCACGTGCAAAGTGCCAGGGGCCCCTCCAGGGACACCTCTGAGCCCAGCCCTCCCGGAGAAGGAACGGGCTGGCCTGAAGAGTGCCGGGGGCAGCCCGGCAAGGGCGGAAGAAGGTCTCGTAAGCATGGGCCCTGGGCAGAAGCTTCCAGCAGCTTTGGGAGCTGACCCATTATGCAGAAATCCAGCCAACAGGTCCTTAAAAGGCAAGCTTGTGAACAGTAAGAAACTGTCCTCTGTTGACTGTTTCAAAACTGAGGCCTTCGCATCCCCGGAGGCCCTGCAGCCTGGGGCAACCGCCCTGGCACCTAAGAAGAGGAGCCGGAAGGGCAGAGCGGGAGGCCTCGGACTCCCCAAAGGCCCCCTGGAGAAACGGCCCTACTTTGGTCCAACTCTGCTCCTCGGTCCCCGAGACAGGGCCGGCAGCACGCAGGCGGGGGGCGAGGACAGTTCTGGTGGGGGCAAGAAGCCAAAGACAGAGGAGCTGGGCCTGGCCGCCCAGCCCTCTGAGGGCCGGCCCTGCCAGCCCCAGACTAGGGCACAGAAGCAGCCAGGCCATGCCAACTACAGCAGCTATTCCAAGCGGAAGCGCCTCACCCGGGGCCGGGCCAAGAACACCAACGCTTCGCCCTGTAAGGGGCGTGCCAAGCGGAGGCGGCAGCAGCAGGTGCTCCCCCTGGATCCTGCAGAGCCTGAAATCCGCCTCAAGTACATTTCCTCTTGCAAGCGACTGAGGGCAGACAGCCGGACCCCGGCCTTCTCGCCCTTCGTGCGGGTGGAGAAGCGAGACGCGTTCACCACGGTATGCACTGTTGTCAACTCCCCAGGGGACGAGCCCAAGCCCCACAGGAAGCCTTCGTCCTCCACCTCCTCTTCCTCACCCTCCTCCTCCTTCTTGGATGTGGCTGGGGCTTACCTGACCGCTCTGCCCGGAGGCTCCATCCTGCAGTCACGGCCCTCCCTGCCTCTGTCCTCCATGATGCACCTGGGGCCTGTGGTTTCCAAGGCCCTGAGTACCTCTTGCCTTGTTTGCTGCCTCTGCCAAAACCCGGCCAACTTCAAGGACCTCGGAGACCTCTGTGGACCCTACTACCCTGAACACTGCCTCCCCAAAAAGAAGCCAAAACTCAAGGAGAAGGTGCGCACAGAAGGCACCTGCGAGGAGGTCCTGCTGCCCCTCGAGAGAACACTCAAGGGCCTTGAGTGTGCGGCTGCCCCCGCTGCCCCCGCTGCCGCTGCTGCCACTGCTCCCGGGAAGCCCCCCAGGCTTGACAGCCCAGCTGACCCGGCCAAGCAGGGCTCGCTGCGTACCAGTGCCCGTGGCCTGTCCCGGCGGCTGCAGAGTTGCTACTGTTGTGATGGCCGGGGTGACGGGGGCGAGGAGATGGCCCCCGTCGACAAGAGCCGCAAGCACGAGTGCATCAAGGAGGCCCCCGCAGAGCCTGTCGGGGACACCCAGGAGCACTGGGTGCACGAGGCCTGCGCCGTGTGGACCGGCGGGGTCTACCTGGTGGCCGGGAAGCTCTTTGGGCTACAGGAGGCCATGAAAGTGGCCATGGACATGGTAAGAGGCCAGCCCAGTGGGGTGGGCAGCTTAGGGGTCCAAAGCATGAGCAGCGGGCAGGCAGCTGGGGAGCCTGGACCCTCCGGGGCCGCACTGTCACAGAGCACTGTCCTTGGGCCCCCGCGCTCCTGGCAGGAGTTGGGTCTCACATCTAAGGTTAAAGCAGGGTGTGCACACCCAGCCCGGGCCTGGAGGCCTCCTGCTGCGGTTCTTGTCCAGCCTGGCCAGCGCCCGCGCATGCTCCCCTGGCACCTTCTAGCTTTGGCCCCGCCTGAAGTCCTGAGATGCTGGGGCCAGACGAGCTGTGAGGCCTCCCGAAGTTAAATGCCCGGGCAGCAAGCTGCTGCTCTGGATGGAGCTGGGGCTCCGAAGGACCCCTCAATCACACAGGCCTAAAGCATGCGACCCATCACAGGCCTTCCCCTTGCCAGGGTCCCAGGGCCACTGGTCCACAGGGCAGAGGAGGCACGGCGCCACCTTTGGCTCTCAACTGCCCTGCAGGGGCCTCTGGCCTCTGAACATCTCTGACTGTGGGAGCCGTCCACCGTAGGCCTTGCCGTTGCTGCCCGCCTCAAGGATTATGGCATATGCAGAGGCGCTGTCTGTCACAAGGTTAGGGTGGCACCTGACCCACATTCAGGGGCTCATGTGTGGTACCCTGAGAACTAGTAGGATGGCTGGCAGGTGTCCTTACAGCAGTGACTGCTGCTGGCGTTCTGCAGGCCACTCAGCGCTGGCTCCTCAGGCTCCCTTCTGCGAGGCCCACGGCCTCTGCACAGGCAGGTGCCAGGCAGCATTAGCCAGCAGCAAGGGCGGCGTCAGCAGCAGCACCCCCCCCACGCGCACAGGGCCCTGCCGGGCCTCTGTGTCCTGATGCTCCCTGGCGCGGAGCTGGGTCCTCACGAGCTGCCCACACGAGCTCTGTGCTGCCTGTCCGGAGTCCCCGTTTGCTACTCCTTCCTTCCTTCCCTGCTCCCTCGCTCCCTCTGTCCCTCCTTCCTGCTGTGGCCATGTGCGGCTGGTCTCCAGAGAACCTGTATTAGCTGGGACTGTCTGCACCTGAGCCATTTGGTGACCAGGCAGAGTGGCCCCTTGGCCCATCGGTGCTCAGTGCAGCAGCCCCCCCACCCCCGTGGGCCATGGCCTCGTGTCGCCGATCCACACCACAGCCGCCCGTCCCTCTGCATTGTGCAGGCTGACTCTGTAGCCCCCCAGGGTGGCTGGAGAACCCCCTACCCCGCCATGACCTCCTGCCTGCCTCTTTCTTACAGGCATAGCCGCCCCCACCTCACTGGGGAGGGCACAGCCTCTGTGCCAGCGGACGGCGGCCCCATGTGCCCTGGATCTCCTCTTTCCTTCTCAGGTTTCTCTCCCTCCTGCCTCCTCCTGGCTCACTGACTCCTTGAAGTAGGCTCAAGTCTGTCCTGTCATTAACACTAACAACCCTGGGTCGCCCTGCCCTGCCATCCGCATCCGCCGCAGGGAGAAGCACCCTGCCACCGTGGCCCTGGCTCTGGCCTTGCAGAGTGCTGGTCTCCCCTCCCCAACACTCACATCCCCCAGGCCCAGACGCCATCGTCTCTGTGTACCTCGCACCCCTGGCTGGCTGGCCCGGGCAGGGAGCATGGATGGAGCCCCTTGCCTGCCCTAATCCACTGCAGTGCCCACAGGTCCCCGCTCACTGACCTGCACACACACACAGCCTTGCTGGCTGAGAAGGAAGTGTCCCCTCCACCCCCGTGTCCCTCAGCCAGGGCTAGAGCCTCCCACCCGTCCCCATCCACTGGACATGCTGCAGAGACGGCCGGGCAGCCCCCACTGCGGGGAGCACCCCAAGAAGGCCAGAAAGGAAAGCGTGCCTGAGAAGGAGCTCGCTGGTCACCACGGGCAGCTCCCTGCCAGACAGACGTCCCGGCCCCGCCTGGGGTTGGCCGCTGGGTGTGCTCTGGAGACAGGAAGCAGCTCCCCTCGGCTTCAGGGGTCTCGCCTCAAGGCACCCCCGGGGGGAAAGCCCGCCTGTCCTCACAAAGCACCCTGGAAGGATGTGCAGGGTTTGGTCTTCCCAGGCTCCACAGAGAGGAAGCTTCAGAGTCACTATTCCTTTCTGCCTCAGTGACATCACCCTCCTGTGGAGTCCAACAGACCCTGGTTTAAATCCCATCTCTGCCAAGGGCCGGTTCTGTAACTCCAGGAAGGCACTTGTCCTCTGTGAGCCCCAGAAGCCGAACCCATCACAGGACTTCGAGATTATGCAGGTGGCCCGTGACCTGCCTGGACACAGCAGGGCTCGGTGCGCAGCTGAGGCCCCAGCCCCGCCTCGAGACACCTGTGGTACTTTGGCCTCCCTTCTGCTCTCTGGAGGACAAAACTGTGAGCCCCCAGGGACACCCCTCTTCCTTCAGTCCCCGCCCCCGCCATACCTGCCCTCCAGGAGCCCTGCCACGCCCGCCTCCTGGGACCGCAGCCTGCCCCGAGCCCAGGCTCCCTCGGGCCCTGCCCTCAGTACCGCCACGAATCCCACCTCCACCCAGACAAGGCCCGGCCACGGGACGCTGAGGATGGGGGCTGCTGGTGCTGTCAGGAGCTGGGATGGGCCTCCTGGCCAGCCAGGGCAGAGCGCAGGGCCGCAGCCCTGTGGGGTGGCTGGGGTCAGAAGCACCTGAGCTTGTCCCTCTGTACCTCCGTTTCCTCACATCTACAATAGCCTGTCAAATTCCTGCCTCGAGGGTTGCTGGGGCCCCAACACAGGTGAAGAGAGAGGCCGTCAGCCGGAGGGGCCCCAGAGCTCCCCCTAAACGTCACAACGCCCCAAGGTCCACTGTGGATGAGAGACTCATGCTTCATCACCCCTTTTTGGGTGAGGAACTGGGGGGATGTTGGGCCCCAGTTCCCCAGGGGCCTGTCCCAGACCAGATGGGAAGGAGACCTCTGTCCTAAGTAGAGGAAGCCGCCCACCCGGAGGCACCGTGTGAAAACTCAGTGTTCTAGGATGTTTCTCACCCCACCCCACATCTGCTCCTGGCCTCCCCGAGGTGCAGGGTTTTGGGGTGGAGCCTGCTTCTGCCCCTGCCCCTGGGAGCATGGGTTGGTGACTGTGGCTCTATACCCCGGCTCAGCTTCCGGGCCTGGGGCCCCGCTGGAAGGGTAAATTCTCAGGCAGGTCACCGCCCCAGCACTCCTGTGGGTAACTAGGGCAAACAGCAACATGACGGGGCTCGTCACCGTCCTGGCTGAGAGCAAGTGACTGTTACCTGCTTCCACGGCTTGGCCCCTGGGCATCCTCCGGCAACTTGACGTCTTCCTGCAGGCCTTGAGTTTTGCTTCACCTTAAGACCTTCCCCGGCTCCGCCAGCCCATCCTGGCCACGTCCCACTTAGAGCAGCTGGGCCACGATAGGGCGGGTGCATGCGGGCCAGCATCGGTTCCGTGAACTTAGCATCTTGAGGGGAGCGCATGCTGCCGCCTCCAGATCTGCAGCCCCATTCATCCCAGGGAGAGTGACTGCTGAGTCCTTGGGTAGGACAGGCAGCACCCCTCCTGCCGCTGCAGTTGCTCTTGCGGAAGGGAAGCCTTGCTCTTACCTCCGGTGAGGTGGGGTTACTGAGAATCACCCATCTGGAGGGGCTGTTATGAGCCAGGACAAGGACACGCCATGGCCCACATGTGAGAACTGCTCGGCCGTCACTGGCTGGAGGCCGCGGCTGTGGCCGTGGCGGTGCCCCGTCCAGCACGCTAGCCTGGGATGCCCAAAGCACGCAGCCTCGTGGCTGTGCCTCCATCCTGCTGGTTCTCGGGGCTGCTTTGGAGAAAGGGGTCTGGGAGTGCAGGAACCTGCCTGGGAAGCATGCGGACTCAACTGCCTTCCCTCTCCCTCCACCAGACATGTTCCAGCTGCCAGGAGGCCGGGGCCACCATCGGGTGCTCCTACAAAGGATGCGTCCACACCTACCACTACCCGTGTGCCAGTGACGCAGGTAAGAGCAGCCTGGGAGCGGGAAGGCCTGGGGGGCCATCCGAGCAGTGCAGGGCTCTGGGCCCTACTCCCCCATCCAACCTGAGCACCATGTGACTCTGGTCATTTCCTCTCACCCCAGCAATTTTTTTTTTTTTTTTTTTTGGTGGTGCTGGGGATTGAGCGCTGGGCCTTCACATAGAGCTGCTTTTCCAGCCCTTTGTAAAATACTTTGAGACATGGTCTCAATAAGATGCCCAGGCTGGGCTTGTACTTGAGATCTCCCTGTCTCGGCCTCCTGGTGCTAGAATTATAGGTGTGTGTCACCACACCTACCTAACCCAGCAGTTCTCTATTTCTTCATCTTTCTCTCTACCTACACCTAGGCTGGACAATGCCAGGAACATGAAAATGGGTCTGTCCCCACTCCCCTGACTGAGGACTACCCACAGCAATGACAGGGAGGCACAAGTTATATCATGAAGAGCTGTTATGACCAAGGGGATGAAAGGGATCTCAGAAAGAAAAGAATATTGGGGCTAGGACTTTGGAAGGATGAATAGGAGTTCACTGAGCAGAGAAAAAGGTTATACTAGAACAGTCCAAAACTGTATACATCAGGGAGATGAGGTTCACAGCACAGACTGAGGCCAGATGCTCTCCAGTTGGCCAAGGGAAGCCTTACGGAAGGTTTCGAGCAGGGCCTGGGGCCCAGAGGCAGGCGTAGGCTCCTCTCTGGGCTCTCACTCCCTAGCTTCCTCATTGGTTTGCTCTACGGGCGTTTGCTAAGCACCTGTGGCTGCCTGAGGCACAGTGACAGATTGAAAGTGCTAGGGAGCCCCAGGAGCCCCAGAGCCCACCTCAACCTGGCAGGGAAACTAGGGCCTGGAGAGATCGCTGTGTCACCGAAAGAAAGCTGCTGTCGGGGCTGGGGATTTAGCTCAGCGGCACAGCGCCTGCCTGGCAAGCACAAGGTCGTGAGTTCGATTCCCAGTACCAGAAAAAAAAAATATATATAGAAAGCTGCTGTTTGCTGTGTGATATTAGTCACCAGGGTCGGCAATATTTTAAGGAGCTGGAGATCACACCCAGGTGGCCTTTCTAGCCATGACCGCAGCGGTCTGTAGGGGTCTGTGCGCTTGGCTCCCCCACCTGTGACATGGAGATTTTCACAGTCCCTTCGTTCCAGAGCTGTGTGCAGCAGAGTGACACCCTGAGCACTGTCCAGGCAGGGCGGACCTAGTCCTGTTTTGAGCCAGCACCATAACCCCTGTGCCACCCTCCCTCCCTCCGAGCTCTGGCCTAGAAGGGGTGAGGTGACCATGACCCTGCCTGGCAGTGGACAAGGCCTGGGTACTGGGGCTCAGTCACTCTTCCCGCAGACCCACGAACGCCCCCCACCCAATGCCCTGCTAGGCCCACCCTGGCCCTGCTGCAGCTGGGCCCTAGGTCAACGTCAGCTGCAGCTGCCTGGGAGCACACACAGGACCTTGACTGGTGACGCTGCCTCAGCCGGACTGAGCTCCCCGTGTCGGGCAGGGCGGGCGGCTGCAGGGGGCCATGGTGGGGTCTCTGCTGCATCCTGCCCTGAGGGGTGTGAAACAGAGTCCCGCGGAGACCCAAGTCATTTGCTGGGCACATGGCCTCATTCCCCCCATAGCACCTGTGACTGAATGCACCCCTCCCTACGGCGACTGACAGCGCCCCCATGCCCGCTCCACACTGTCCCCCAGCCACATCTGTACAGATGGTCATCTTGCCCACAGCCACACCGCAGGGCGCTGGCAGAAGCAGACTGCCTGGTTACCCTCTCTTTGCCCTCCGCCCCTCCTCCCCTAGCTGCGGGCACTCTTGTGTGCACACACACACACACACACACACACACACACACACACACGGGGCGGGGGGCTTACCTTGGCTGCCAGCAGATGGGAGAAAGTGGTTCTTGCTCACAGTGACAGAGACCAGAGCAGGACAGAGCGTGAGCCGTGGGAAAAGTTCACCCTGTTTAAACTGGGAGGGAAGCCAGGTGGACGTGCAGGTGGAGGTGACGTCTGAGAGGCCGCAAAGGATGGGGTGAAGTGGGCAGCAGCGGTACTTGTACACCGGACTTTGAGCAATGGAGTCTTTGCTTGAAGTGAAATCTTAGTCGGATCCTGCATGCAATAGGAATCTCTGTAGAGCCGTGGGGACTGAGGCCAGGGAGGGCTGGGAAGACAAAGCACTGACAGCATCAGGCCTCAGAGTCCAGGCAGGAGAGCATGGCTGCCCAGTGCAGAAGGCGGCACTAAAGCCGCGGAACTTGGGGTGAACTGGTGTCGAGCCTGAAATCGAGTCTGCCCATGTGGAGGAGGGGCGAGGGTAGAGGGGGCGGCTGCCTAGCAACTGACTTTTCCAGGCCCTGCTTACTTGGAAACGCCAAGGGCACAGGTGGGCTGGGGCCGTGTGCTGCCCAGTCCCTTCCCACCCCCCCTGTCTCCTCCCAGCCCTGACAGATCGGAAGTCACAGATAGAACATGCATGGGCCTCTTCACTGGAGCTGGGTCCTAGCAGGGGATGTCTACCTGCCACACCTGCGGTAGCCCGAGGACAGGCTGCTTTTGAGGCATCTGCAGATACTGTGGGAGCATCCCAGAGGTTCTCAGGGTGAACCATGTAGCAGCTGGCCAGGGGGCTCATCAGAGCCCTGGGGGGACAGTGGGAGCTTGAGCAGCTGGTGGTGGAGGAGGGGACCCTCGGGAAACCAGCGCGGCAGCCAGAGCAGTGAGGAAGGATGAGGCTTCAGGAGGCAGGGAGGACGGGAAGGAGGAGCTCGGGGAGCAGATTTCCAGGGCCTTGGCAGGGGCCTCTGGGAGGAGATCTTGGTCGGGCTCTCAGGCTGCAGGGCCTGGGCTGCCCATGGCAGCCGCCTTCAAGCCTGCATGCCGCCTGGCCCCCTTCCTCCTGCTTTCCTTCCAGTCCTTTTTAAGGGGACCCCACTTCGAGGATGAGCAGTGACTCCCAAGAGGAGGCAGAGATTATCACACTAAGGGATCCTGTCCAAACTGCCTAAACTTCCCGTACCCAGCATCAGGCCACCTGCACACCCAGGTGCAAGACTCCAGGAAAGGGCAGGCGTTGATGCCTGACCCTTCCTGGCGTCGCCCCTCCTATGCCCAGCATGGGCCACGCTGGGTGACTGCTGAGCAAGCTGGTTTGGAGGTGGCTTCTAGTGGCCTGGGCCCTGAGCCCTGCCGCCTGCAGCTGCCCCAGAGGGCTGCGTCTCAGCCTCCGCTCTTGGGAGTCTCACTCAGGCCCCGGGCTGAGTCCAGCTCCCTCGAGCATGGAACAGGGGAAGCTGCTCGCTGCCTCCAGCCACTGCCCCTAGAAGGGCAAACCTGGTGGGCAGCTCTCAGGCTGGCAGGTGCCCAGCTCCCAGCAGGGTTGGCAGGTAAAATGGGAGAGAGCTTGAGAGGCCCACAGCCGCCCTCTGCTGCCCTCGGGCTGCAGATCTGTTCCCCCTTTGCACCGGGTGCCGCCCCAAGTTGAGCTGGAAGAGTGCACTGGGCAAGGCTGCTCCCCTGGGCACTAGGCTGCGAGAGAGAGGAGTGAGACCCCCAGAAGGGGCCTGGGGTGTCCGTGGAAAAGCTGGGGTCTCCCTGGGTGGTAGCAGGCAGAGGAGCAAAGCGTTGCTGCAACATCAGCACACCCTGGCCACGGCGGCCGTGAGGACTGGCCGTTTGCTATCCTCGGCACCTCGTGTGTAGCGTGCAGCACCAGGGACCACACTTGCTGGGATTTGCTCAGGCCTGAGACCCGTGTGTGACCTCCGACCCCAGGCCCCTACAGGAACAAGCGCCTTTGTCCTGAGCACCTGCCCTGTGCCATTCGTGGGGGGAGGTTTCTGCCCTCCTCACCAGTCCCCAGCGCCCATGAGGGACACGCAGTAGGTGGCAAAACGCTCATCAGACAGAGGTGGGGACCAAGGCTCAGAGTAGCCGACCCACTGATCCCCAGATGACATCCCGGGCATCAGCCCTCTCTGGAGGCTGGGCGCACACCCCTCACACAGCCTGCCGCCCACTGGGGAGGGAGGACAAGGAGTACCGGGAGATTGTTCCAGCGTAGGTCATGAGAGAGAGCCTCAGGACTGGAGTGGCGCGGGCAGGTGGGCTTCCGCTGAGGGGGTCGGGGATCTCCCAGTGACAAGAAGGAGGTGTGCACGTGGGGGGTGCTTTCTAGGACGGAGGACGGCGGTGAGGATAAAGAACAGAGGGAGGGGCAGAAGGTGGCATCACATTCCCGTGGTGGAGTGATGGAATTCATTCCTGGAGGACCCACTTTTTTTTTTTTCCTTTCGGATACTGGGAATGGAGCCTCTTGTACGCTAGCTAAGCTTGGACTCCATCACGGCGCTAACCCCAGCCCAGGTTCCTTCTCTGAGCAAGGCGCCTGCCCCTGGAGCCCTGGAGTCAGTCGGCCCCTCCCCTCTGTCCGCTGACCAAACGCCAGCAGCCGCCCCTCCCTGCCTACCTAACCCCCGAAACTTCTCTTTGGTCACAGGTTGCATATTCATCGAAGAGAACTTTTCTTTGAAATGTCCCAAACATAAGGTAGGTGACCACGAGGACCCCATTTTTTTCACTTCCTTTACAAGCCCCTCCCGTGACCTGCAGACCCCAGCAGGGCCCATCCGGAGGCCCGGCCCGCCCCGGCCGCCTAGCCCAGCAGAGGGGCAGGGCGTCTCAGGCAGGGCGGCAAGGTCTGCTTGTCCACCGGGCGGCCCCTAGGGAGAACCTCCCGTAACCCTCCCCTGCGGACCGAGGGCGCACGGGCGGGGCAGGGGGCGGGCTGCGGGACGCGGCGGGAGGGGGCGGGAGGCCAGCCAGGGCGGGGCCCAGCGTCTCTAACGCAGAGAGACCTCCCCGACCGCAGCTGGGCGGGGGCGGGGCCTCGGGAGGAGGCGGTGCCCCGTAACCGGCTGTCTGCCGTCCCTCCCCCGGCAGAGGCTGCCGTTGTAATCCACCGCAACAGCCGGAGGAGCCGCCGGAGCCGGAGCCGGAGCGGCCGGCCGCCGAAGGAAAGGAGCCGCCCGCGCGGCGAGGCCTTGGAGTTGCTCCCAGCGCGCGACCGGAGCTGATCCTTGATCCGGGTGCCGGGTCTTGGATCCGGCCACCGAGGGCCCTGCGCGCGGCCCCGGGTTGGGGAGAAAACCTGTTCCGGAGTCCCCTGCTCCCGGAACTGGACGGCACAGGGCTTTCTTGCCCACACCCCTGAGGCCAGGCTTGCGGAGAGGAGGCGCCCCGCGGCCAGATTCCTCCGGGCACCCAGTCTCCGGCAGGAGTGGGGAGGCTTTGGCCTGGGGACTACTTTTCACCCCAGAGGTCCTAAGAGACGAGGCACACATTCCTCGTGGGTTTGGCCACCACCCCAGGGGGTTGTGGCACGCAGCTGGGCGCCCGGGGGGCAAGGGAGGTGGCCCCGGGCCACCCTGGGAGGGGCCGATGGTGGCTCCTGGCTCCGTGGATGCGGCGGGAACTGAGGCCTTTTAGGAGAAGGCCAGGTCGCGGGGGAAGGGGCCGCAGGCTTTGGAGAGCGCCCTCCACCCTGCCTTTGCCAAAGCTGCGCGCGGCTGGGGCCAAGGTGGGGTGGTTGTGGGCCTTCGCCCCGAGGGCGCGGGCGGGGTCGGGGCGCCCTTTGGCTTCTGTCGTCACCTCCCCAGTTCTCCACCCACCCCCGGAGCGCAGCAGAGAAGACGCCGCCCGACGAGCCCCCCTCTGGCGGTGCGGGTGCGCGGTCGTCTCCCTGCACCCCACTGGTCAGCGCCAGCGGCACGGGAGCAGGGGCAGCGCTGGATTCGTGTACAAAACCTGTGTACCCCTCTATATATATGTTACATAGAATGTATATATGTTGGGAACATGCTCGCTTCTCCCGTGTGTCGCCGCCCGTGCGTCGTGCGCCCCGCAACACAGAGCCCCGCCCGGGCCCTTGCCGGGCAGGGAGCTCCCGCGCCGCCCTTCCCCGTGCAGCCACCACCGGCTCGGGCCAGCCCCGCCAGTCTGTCCGTGTCCTCAGCTCTGTCCACGCTTCGATAGGCCTGAGGCGGCCCCCGCCCGGGGCTGCCCTAGCAACTTCCTGTACATATGACTGTAAAATGGTAAACGTGTGTATTATACCTGGCCTCGTTATATAGTGTATATATATGTATACATATACATATATATAATATATATGAAGACTGTAAATGTTAAGACGATTAGTGTTCTTATTAGTATATTGCTTCACACTGAAGATTGTGTGTATCGAGCTGTTTCTAAAAGATGTTTATTTTCCTTAAGAGTAAAAAAGTCATTGCATTCAGAAAAAAAAAAGTCAATAAAGAAACGACGATTGTTTTGGAAGTCTGCAACCCGTGGATTCCGGCCAGACCAGGCCTTAGGTGGGGTATGCGGATGCGGGAGGGGGTGCCACGGGAGGCGGGAAGGAGACCCTGCTACCATCCGCGTGGCTGCGGACCCTCCCTCCGTGTGGCACGGGTTTCCCCAGGTGTGCAGGGAGGTGACCAGGGCCAGGTGGGGGACACTCCAGACATACAGGTTGTGGCCCAGGATCACCACGGGACACGGTGGGGGCTGGGAAGAGGGAAGGAGCTGAAACCATCAAACCCTAGCGGTCCAAATGGCCAGACGTGTGGGCAAGGGATCAGTGGGACAGCTTCCGGCAGGAGGCAAACGGGCCGGGGATGTAGCTCGGCGGCACGGCGCCTGCCTGGCAAGTGCAAGGTCCTGAGTTCGATTTCCGGTGCAAAAAAAAAAAAGGTAACGCTTGACCCTTGCGATGGGTGGGGGACCGGACGCCTCCGCCTAGGCGCATATCCACCCTCCTCCCCAAAGGAACAAAATCTAGGTTATAAATAATTTCATTTTTTATTTTCTGTACAAAACTTCTCAACCTACGAAAATAAAAGTCTGCAAAAGGCAAAGTAGCACATGAGCCTCCGCGGCCAGGAGGGGGCTCACCCGGATCTACACTATGTACAAGTCTTTCCAGCATGCACAGAATGCACAGAGGCGCTTCGGTGCAGGGCTCCCCTCTCCGCCCTCCAGACCAGAGAAAACGCCACTGAGCGCCCGCCGAGCCAGGGGCGGCTCGCAGGCGGTCCGGGGCCTGCGACTCCACGATCGGCCACCAGAGGTCAGCACCGTCCGGGTCGCCGCTCGTCCGGTAGAGCGGGCCGAGGTGGTGCGCAGGAGACAGGTCCCAGAGGGCTCCCATCCCCAGGGAAGCGCGGCCCGGAGAGAGGCGGGGAGACCGGGGGCGCGGCGGGATCTAGCTGGAGGTGACGGTGGTCCCGCCGCCCAGGCGCATGAGCATCTGCTGGCAGTCGTGCAGCAGCCGGCGGTCGCCGAGCTTCTCCAGCGTGCGCGCCGCCTCGGCCAGCATGCCCACGCGCTGCCCCGGCGCCGACAGGAAGCCGGGGGGCAGGTAGCACGAGGCCAGCAGCAGCGCCTCCGCGTGCTCGCGCC